AGTGGGTTGGGTTTAAACCATGCTTTGCAGAACACAAAGAAAATCTAACCTAGAGATCTTTTTCTGACCGAGAGTGAAGCGGATGATTTTGCTTTGAGATGAATCCTTGGAGGATGCACTGCATGACAGGAAAGAAAAAAAGTGGAACAGCTGAGTGAGAAGAGAAGATACGTTAGACACGAATAAATAGTCTCATGACAATGGGAACGATCCTGGATTTTTTTCCTCTGCCCACTTTTTCCAACATATGCAATAGTCTTTCTAGGTCTGACTTTTCTGATTAGATAAATTTCCAATGTGAAGAAATTGCTGTAAAGATTATCCAAGAACTTTTGTGGTTTTCTTTCTTTCTGTTTTCTTTTTTTTTAAAAAAAACACCAAATATCATTTCTGCTTCCATGCATTATGAGGCCTTTTTCCCCACAATAAGACCATGAAGCCAGGGGGTCTCTGACAAGTAAACATACTTTGTACCTTTCTGAAGTATTTAGATGCTTCCATTTCACATGTTTACCAGGGTGCTTTTCAGATAAATGTCCTAAATATACCATAAATTGACCCAAAACAAAAGTAGAGATGTTTGCAAGTTTTACTGCTCTCGGAAATTTTTGCTCTCAGTGGTATAGAAACCTGCCAAACTTGCTACATTCTGGGTTTTGGATTATAAATTTGCACATCTGAAGAATCCTGATTGGACCTAATTAAAAAAAAAAAAAAAGTTAACTTCATTTACTCCCTTTTGAAAAGTAGAAGCATTTATCTTTCTTGCATCCATATTTCCTGTATCATGTTTATAAAAGGATCAGAGACGAGAAATACAATCTTGGCTTCACTAGTCTTAGAAAGTAAAGGAAGTGACAGAGGAGAAGGGAGAAAGAAATGATGCAATGTTCTGGATTTTTCCTAAACAGCTGAATACTGATAATACATAGATACAGATGGAGAGGGATGCAGGCCTTGGAGATTATACTCTGTCCTCAACTCTAGAATGGTAAGGGATTTCATGAGATGAAATGTGGATCAATTTCTTGACCACCACGTAAACTATGGGAAGAGCTAAAGTGAAGAGCTAAAAGGCTGTCACAGAGGAATGACAGTTGCTCTGAATCCTCATGCCATGGACTCAGGTTTCCTTTGACAACTTTCACAATTCCTTTATTCACAACCTTTATGGAAAAGTTGCCAAGTTTTAGCTACGGAGCTCAGTTTGACTCTGTGATACATGAGGTCACCATGAGCTGGAACTGACTCAATGGCAATGGGTTTATTTGTTTGTTTTTTACCAAGAATGGGAGGGAAGGGGTAAGGGACAGCCATTGCTTAGGGGGCACTGAGTTTCTGTTAACGGTGGTGGAATAATCTGGAAATGGATAGTGGTGATGGTTGTACACTATGATGAACATAATCAATGTCACTGAATGGTACATGTAAAAAATGTTGAATGGCAAAGTTTTGTTATATATATTTTTACCACAATACAAAAAAAGAAAAAAAGTTGCCATGTTTTAGTATTTGCTACCCCAAAAGGTGCTGAATCTACATAGTTTCAAAATGGCTTTTAGGCAAGTTCACATATGACAGAGTTCTAACAGAGGACAAAAACATACCTGGCATTTTGGGTTTGCATCAATATTTGACAATGATGATCATGGGTTCAAACCCTTACTCTTGGGGCTTTGTTCATCAAAGATGGAGTTTTGGATTAGAGATACAATGGAATTGCCAGTGATGCAATTTTACTATACTTAAATTTACAGCCAGTGTCAGTATTAGTGTATCGTATCACTAGATCTTAAGAACAAAGTTATCCTCTGCAAGTAAAATTAGAAAACATCAGTATATGATGGATGAAACCAACCATCTGCCAAAGTAACTGAAACTAGGCAAGATAAAGGGGTGAGTGAGGACATACAGCAACTCCAAAGCCCAGTCTATGTCATCACATGGCAGAGTCAGGGAGCCGTGATGGCAGGAAACACTCTGTAGCTGGAATAAATGACTGCAAAAACCTGGCTTATGTGAGCTTGGCTCTTTAGGTGAAGCATTTATTAGTAGTAGGGTATTTTTTTCTTACTGGGAGATTGGCACCCTAATTGGAACATCTGGTTCTTTTAAGCAAACAAACACTCCCATGGAAATGGATGCCTCAGGCTTGCATAGTTCAGTGAACACAAGGCCAATGTTTCTCAAAGCATGTTCCTTGGAACCCTATCCTGTGAGATGCTCCATAAAATAGGAAGAGTTCTGTGGCCGAGCTGCTCTCTATGCCCCCTTCTGGAGATTCACAATACATACCTATTCCTCTCCCAGGCTTCCTCACTTCAGTAAATAATATCAGCACTTACCTAACTGTTCAAGCCAGAAATCTAGGCTTTATCTGTGATTCCTCTCTTTCCCTCACTTCAGATAGTCACTCATATGTAGGTCCTGTTGATTCAACCTCCAAAATACATCCTGAATTGGTCCATCTCCATACCTGCTCCCACCACCTTGATCCTAGCCACTGTCATCTTCCAAAAGACCGAAAAAGACTTCCTTTCATTTTTGCTCTCCACAATCCATTCTCCAAAGAGGACTAAAAGTGATGTTTTAAAACTGTAAATCAAAACTAGTCTCTCTCCTCCTTAAGACCCACCAATGCTTCCTGACACCTTTAGAATGAAATCCAGACTCTCTACCCAGCACTTGGATGTGGCCTCAGAGCTATAGAACGGCACGACTCCAAGGACCACCAGTCACACTGTCTTCCATGTAAACGGTGGCAGCCACCTTTGCTTCCAGTCTCCCTTATGACTTCCCCCTCCCCCCAGCCACTGCACTCTAGCCACACTAGCCTTCTTTCTGCTCCTCCAACATGCTGAGCTTACTCCTACAATAGGGCCTTTACACCACCTAGACTCTCTGCCTGATATATTCTACACCTGACCTTTGCATGGCCAGCTCCTTGTCATTCGTTATCTCCACTTCAGTGTCATCTGTTCGGACAGACCTTCCCAGCAACTCAACCTAAAGAGTGACCCACTGCCTCTGATTCCCATCATCTTATTGCAATATCCATTGGTATCTAATATTTTAGTCCCTATTTATTTGCTTGTTTTTCTGCCTCCTCTAATAGACTGTAGACAGCACACACCCTGTCCTAGGACCCCTACATGCCTAAGACAGTGCCAGGCACATAGAAGGCATTTAACTATTAACCAAATAAATGAATGCACATCAGTAGATTAAAGACTTTGGGTAGACCTGCAGTAACAGTGATAACAACTTAACCCAAATTATTTTCCATTTTTTCTCCCCACAGAACCCTTCCCCTGCAATATAACTCAAGTTAACATCTGAGGAATAAGCACTCTGCAGAATGCAGTCTGGGAAATGATGTCTTGATCATTCCAATGACCCAGGTCCACCAGGGAACCTTTGATCAGGAAAGAACTCCCATGCAGGCTGTGAAAGAGGGAAAGAGTGCAGTGCCTGGCTGCTTGGCTGTGTATTCCTCATTGCTAGTCCAGGCACTTCTCCCATCCCACAAATTTCCATAATGTGAACTGGATATAATTAGATAATTAATTAGGGGGCCTGACTTACATTACACCCATCACTGCTGGTTTTAACACCATCACAACTGAGGAACAGCACTGCTCATAGGAAAAAAGCTGTAGCCATCTACAAGGCAGCTGCTTTGCTTGAGCAGCTCTGTGCTTTGCCCAACACTACAATGGGCGATAAAGGGTATCAAGGTATGCAGAAAGCCCTGTGCTAATTAATGCTGGTGCTTTGGGTGACTGGAAAGGAGAGCCCCTTCCTCTTTAGCAAACATTAGATGAAATCAAGCAACCAATCTGAGCAGTGACATTTAGGCTTAATAGCTAAAAGCTTATGACTTAGAAAAAAACAATTATAAACTTTTCTACAGAACATTACCATGAGTCAAATACTCTAGTTCCTAATCCCCCATCTTGCTACCCCCTATTTTTTTCTCCCATTAAATCCAATATTTTACAAGGTGATTTTTTGATAAAGCAGAGTTGTTTGGGAATGCAATGACTCCCACTGTAACAAAGTAGACAGTGACTATGCTGGCATTCTGCTTGTGTGGTATTTGCTGGTGAGCTTGCGGGCCAAGCATCAGTCCTTCTGGGAATGCCAACAATATCTAGACCCTAATCCTGCAAAGTAGAGGACCAGACGTGCACTGTGGGAACTTCAATGACACCTCAAACTGTTCTCTAAGGTCCACAAAACCCAGTCACGTTTATTGGTACCCACCTACTCCCCCCATCAGGGGACGCTGCCCTTCCCGCGGAAGCTGACTGCCTCCTTCTCTGCTAAAAACCACTTGTCACCTTTCTTCAGTGCCCTTTATATTTCTCTCTGGCAAAACAGAGGCATCAGCTAGAGTTGAACTTTTGCCTCCCCTTAGTAAAATTACTCTTATGTGTAACACTGAACACCCAGCTTATGGGCAAACATGCAAAAGGGTTTTGAAGTCTATTTTAGGGGCTGTTTATTGCATAGGAAGGAACCCTGGTGGTGCAGTGGTTAAATACTCAGCTGCAAACCAGAAGGTCAGCGGTTTGAACCCACCAGCCACTCGGTGGGAGAAAGATGTGGCAGTCTGCTTCCATAAAAATCTACAGCCTTGGAAACACTACGGGGCAGTTCTACCCTGTCCTATAGGGTCACTATGAGTCAGAATCAACTCAAGTGCAAGGGGTTATTGCATACAAGCATGTGTATAATAGGCCGGAGTTATGGTAGGAGCAGCTAATTAGTTTTCGCTGCTGGCGATTCTGACCTATAAAAATACACATCTCCACCAGGCACAGAAGGTAGCCTCACTGCATCCATTTCAAGGTCATGCTAATTTCCCACAAACTGCCAGTAGCTCTCAGCATTGAAGAAGCTTGGATAAAAAACACGTTCCGTCTAGGCTAGACTTCAGTTGGTGTAGAGAAGGGTGCCTGGAAACACACAATGGTTGACTGGCGAGGAGCCCCCACCTGGACTGCATTTCAGCTTGTGCTTTTGACTGCTGATGAGGCGCTGGCTGGTGTGGCTGATGAGGCTGGCACAGCGCTTGGGGAGTGGCTGGCACCTGTTGCTGGGGCGTGCCAGCCTGGCCCTGGGAGGGGGCGCCAGCCGGCTGGGCCCCGGCGGGCGGCAGCGGTGAGGAGAGGTGTTGTTTCTGGGGCTGCTGCTGCTGCTGCTTGTATCGGGAGAGGCTGAAGAAGAGGCCTAGAATGGCCTTGAGATTTCCATTCCTGATTTCTGGAAGACAATGAAAAGACTGTTGTCAGAGGGGGGGCCCTTTCTGCCTCCTGTTCAATGGGCTACTTCAGCCCTCACACAAGTTTAACTCCTCTAGGATATAACAGACTTCCTGAACACTTAATTGGTATCACAGTCAGTTAAAATCAGGTCTAAACCACAAAGAAATTAACCGATTCTCCCCACCAGCATTACAGTGGATACACAAGGCAAGTTGTAATTGGACGTCTGGCAAATGCCAGGAGAAATTCACAGTAAGTACACAGCTGAAAAAGCAAAAGTCCCTGGGCAAGACTGTGCTTGTCCTATGGGCAAAGCAACTGATCCAGGGACAGAGGCCCTCCCCACTGCTGGGGTGGGGGGATTGGCAGGGCAGTGCTGGGGAGACTGGCTGGTCTTTACACTGCTCTGCCAAGGTCCTTGTTCTAAGTTTCAAGCCATCCTGAGTGTGCCAAGTGGCTGCTGCCTCACTCCAAAACCCTTGCTCTGCTTTATGCAATCACCCTTCTCTCAAATACAAGACTCTGTCTCTCTTATCTACTGAATAAACTTAAATTTGGGGTAGAGGTAGGGATAGCCTATAAAGACTTGCTTCCATAAAGAACTCACACAATCTCTTTTATATTATATTAAAAGAGATTATAACAGGGCAAGGATAAGAGCATTTCCATTCCAGACAGCGGGTTCAAATACAGCAACGACTGTGAGGATGGCGCAGGACCAGGCAGTGTCTCGTTCTGTTGTACATGGGGTCACTGTGAGTCAGAACCGACTCCACGACACCTAACAGCAACAACAATGCATTTGCCTAAAGACACTCATAAAAAGTTGCAGAGAAGGAATAAAATATTTATTCACAGGCAGAGGCTCTAGATCGCAAGGGTGTTTCTCCTTTGGGCCATTCATCCCTTTAAAATGCAGCTCTTTTAACACCAGATGCTGATGGACAGGGTCCGAACTGGCCCTGAGGGTGAAGTATTAGGGCCACCCAGCTCGATGGACAGACTACGAACCTTGATGGGGGGAACATACTCAGCTCCCTCTGCTTTGCTTACACCCCTTGCTTTGCTGTAAGATTGCTTGTGAACTGGCATAGAAAAAGAAGCAAGGTGATTGTTGTTTTAGTTGCCATGGAGTTGGTCCCCAACTCTTGGCAGTCCCATGACAATGGAACAAAATGCTGTCCGGTCCTGTGTCATCTCCATGATCGGTTGGAGACTGGACCGTTGTGATCCATAGGGTTTGCATTGGCTGACTTTTAGAAGTAGATTGCCAGAGCTTTCTTTCTAGTCTGTCTTGGTCTGGAAGCTCCACTGAAACCTGTTCAGCATCATAGCAACACTCAAGCCTCCACCGACAAATGGGTGTTGGCTGTGCTCGAGGTGCATTGGCCAAGAATTGAATCTGAGTCTCCTGTGTGGAAGGGGAGATTCTTCCACGGAACTACCACTGCCCTCATAAGAAAGCTGTAGAGGTTTTGTTAACAGGGTGGGTGGGGAAAGCCTTGCCTGGTGGGTAATGCCCCCCTCTAGGTTAACCCCGCAGCGTACCAATGCCTTCACCCTGATATGATTTGCTGATTAGGCCAGCCTGAGTTACTTCCTACTGGAGCTTCCCTTTCTCCAGGCTCTGGAGAAACAACAACGCAGCCTTCGCTACCAACTTCAGGAGTTAACATGTAATGATTCTGCTACAAAATCAACAGGAGGACAGCGTTTGGGAAATCTAAGCCATGAGTTCCAATCTGCACTCTTTGCTTACTAGCTGTGTAATACCGAGCGAGTCACTTACTCTCTCTGGCAACAATCAGAGCACCTGCCCCACCACACAAGGTTGATATGCAGATCAAATGAGAACGCACACTATCAACAGTGACGTCCTCCACTGGTCTGGGTTGTTACATGAAGACCGCAGTCTGAGATCCTGAATGAGATTCCCATACAGGTCCAGCTTCAATGTTTTAAAAACAATGGTTTTAACTAAAACCAGTTGCTGTGGAGGTTGATTCCAATTTATGGCGACTCCATGTGTGACAGAGTAGGAATATGCTCCGTAGGGTTGTCAATGGATGATTTTTTGGAAGTAGATCACTAGGCCTTTGTTTCAGCCTGCCTCTGGGTGGGCTTGAACCACCAAACTTTTGGTCAGCAGCCAAGTGCATTGACTGCTTGCACCACCGAGGGACTCTGGTATTAACTAACCCCCCAGAAAACTAATTGCCCCTGAGTTGAATTCCAACTCATAGCAACCCTATAGGACAGAGGAGAACTGCCCCATAGGGTTTCCAAGGCTGTAATTTTTATGGGAGCAGGTTGCCACATCTTTCTCCCACAGAATGGCTGGTGGGTTCGAATCACTGACCTTTCAGCAGCTGAGCTCTTAACCACTGTGCCACCAGGGCTCCTTGGTTTTAACTAAAGTGTCCTTAAAATACATTGTGCAAACCATCACACTTTTGAGAGTGAAAGAAAGACTCTTCATTACACCAGACCAACAGGGGCAACCAGAGCTGATGTGAACGGATCAGGAAGCACAGTCTCTGCTTATAAGCAGAGTTAGGGACAAAAACAAGGAATAAATGCTGGAGCTGGGATCTAAATCTAGGCTTTTCCAGCTCAAAGCATGGTCTCCTAAAACTGTGTAACTTGGCTTACTTGTACAACTATCATGTGTGGTGAATTTAAAAGCATACCAGATAATGTTTTATTTATTAAGCTAGCTGGTGGGCATAAAAGTATGCTTTCTTCTTTTGGTATGTCAAACATTCCATGACACATTTTTTTAAACCACACAAGGAAAACAAAGAGGGGGAGGAACTAACAGTTCAGCATATCCAGGGGTGCAGGGTTGTCCACTGCAGAAAGCAGGCTTGTCCATGTCAGCACCCATCAGCACCAGATCAGCCCAAGTGCAGACAAGCACCCATCTTGACTGAGGAAGTCCCTCCTGGGCGCCAGCTTTGCAATATTCTCTGCCTTCGGTGGTTGTTAAGTCATTTATTATTCATTAGTTAGTTCCGTTGTTCTGTTTTATTTGTCAGAGAGCACACTGCTCCCATAAATATACTTTTTTGGGAGGCAGCATTTGTTATTGTAAAGATCACTGATCTTTGGAGCTTAAAAAAGACCTGGGTTTGAATCTCTCGAGTCCATCATTTATAGACTTTGAGTTTTCTCAAGATTCAACCTTGCTGAACCTCAATTTCCTTCTCCTTTAAAATGGGATATGCCCTGCGGTACCTTTTCCATGAGTTACCATGAAAATTAAGTGAGAAAACAAATTCACGTTACAATATAGAAGAACCATGAAACCATTATGCTGAGTGAAGTCAGTCAGTCACAAGAGACAAATATTGTATGATCTCACTCATATGAAATATCTAGAATAGGTAAATGTACAGAAACCAGAGTTTCCCAGTGGTCACCAGAGGCAGGAAGGAACCCTTGTGGCACAAATCACTAAGTGCTTGGTTTTGAACTGAAAGGTTGTCGGTTCAAACCTACCCAGTGGCTCCACAGAAGAAAGACCTGGCAATCTGTTTCCATAAAGACTATAGTCAAGAAAACCCTATGGGGCAGTTCTACTCTGTCACATGGTGGGGTTTGCTATGAGTCAAAAACGACTCCACAGCACCTAACAACAAGGACAACCAGAGGCAGGAGGGAGGAGAAAGTGAGAGTCCTTGTTTAGGAAGCACTGAGTATCTGCTAATGATGATGGAAAATTCGGCAGTGGATACTGGTGATGGCTGCACACCACAGTGAATATAATCAATGTAATTAAATTGTACATGTGAAAAATGTTGAATTGGCAAATGCTGTGTTATACATATTTTTAACACAATAAAAATAAAAATCACATGGATTATTGATTACAAAAAAAAAAAAGATTAAATGAGAAAATGAGTACAAAGCACCTAGACACTACCTGTGTCTGTACTTCTCTTTTTGGTTCAGAAAATATAGTCGCACTTCCTTTTGGCGAAGGGCCCTCAGAATTCAAGACAGAGCTTTTTGCCAAAAGGAAGTCTAGGAAGCTGTCTGTTCTCCTCCTTACTCTATCCCCTCTATTTCATAGCCACTGGCATCCAGAAGGAAATCAATCATCAACGATCTTATATTAGAGAAAACTCAATGGTGATCTTTTTAAAAAAAACAGCTTTACTGAGGCATAAATTGCACCCACGAAATTCACCCACTTTAAGTGTCCAATTCAATGATTTTTAGTCAATTTATAGACTTGTGCAACTATCACTATAATCTAGTTTTAGAACATTTCCATCACCCTAAAAAGATTCCTCATTCCTATTTGCCCTCAATCCCCAATCTCACTCCCAGACAACTACTAATCTGCTTTCTATTTCTACAGATTTGCCTTTTTGGGGAGCATTTCATATAAACAGAATCATACAACATGTAGTCTTTTACATGTGGCTTCTTTCACTTAGCGTAATGTTTCTGAGGTTCGTCCATGTCAGAGCATGTATCAGTAGTTTGTTGCTTTACACTGCTGAGTAGTGTCCCATCACACGGATATGCATTTTATTTATCCATTCACCAGTTGATAAACATTTGAATTGTTTTTCTGGAAGAACACATTCAAGAGTGGTGGATGCTCTGGTTGGGGCTGGAAGCCACCCAGTTTATGACATGGGTGGTCTATAACAGACAGTATCCAAAATAGCTAGAATTGTGTTCTTTCATATTTCCCTAGTGGTATTTGTCTCTGTTCCATTAGGCCTGGTAAGGCAGCTCCACAGGCATTCTAAAAACAAAATCCATCAGCCCACAAAAATGTTTCCCTCAGCATACTTCCCAAGGTGTTGGAAAAGGAACATCATTTTGTGTTTGATTAACTAACCTCACTCTCTTAATTTCTAGAAAAGGAAAAAAATGTAGACCTAGAGAGAAGTAACTTGGCCAAGGAAACACTGGCTAGCTAGTAGCTAAACAAGCAGTGGAACCCTGTTCTCCTTTCTTGAGGCTGCCCTATGCAAATTG